ACGCTTCTCAATGGGTTAATAACAATCTTTTGATTTTAAGATCTTTTTACCATATTCATTTTTTTAATTTTACAAGACTGAAATAAAATAATAGAACAACAACCCTCTCATTTTATAAATACAAGGTATCTCGAACCCCTTTTACCATCAACTCAATCAAATTTAAAAACACCATCAAAACCAATCAAAATATCTATTCTGAAATATTTGGCTTTACGGTTAACAAAAAAAAACCCGCGCTTCTTAAGCGCGGGTCAAAATCTAGTATGCATTATAACAGAATATCTAAAATAGTTCAAAATCCGAAAAGAGAAGTAAAAAAAAAACAGGAAGCTAGAGTAATGAGTAGCTTCGCCACCTCCGATCAAGAACCCAGTTACGAGAACAAAGCTCTGACGGAGAGGTAACAAAGCTGTAACACAAACAAGCGACCATATACCAAACTACTGATGTAACAAAACTAAAATAGTCTTTTGATTCATCTGCGGATGATAGAGTTTTCCTCAAGGTAGTTCACTTGGCACCCTTCTTGACTGCAGCCTTGGTTACCTTGGCTCCGGTAGGGTCCTTCTTGTCGACACTCTTGATGACACCGACTGCGACAGTCTGCCTCATGTCTCTCACAGCGAAACGTCCAAGAGGTGGGTACTCAGAGAAGGTCTCAACAACCATGGGCTTGGTGGGAGTCATCTTCACCATACCAGCATCACCGTTCTTCAAGAACTTGGGCTCCTTCTCGATCTCCTTACCAGAACGTCTGTCAATCTTGGTGAGGATCTCAGAGAACTTGACAGCAATGTGAGAGGTGTGGCAATCAAGAACTGGAGCGTAACCGTTACCAATCTGACCAGGATGGTTCATGATGATGACCTGAGATGTGAAGTTAGCAGCGCCTTTAGCTGGGTCATCCTTGGAGTTGGATGCAACGTAACCACGCTTGAGATCCTTGACGGCAACATTCTTAACGTTGAATCCAACGTTGTCACCTGGAAGTGCCTCCACAAGAGACTCGTGGTGCATCTCGACAGACTTAACCTCAGTGGTCAACCCTGAAGGAGCAAAGGTCACAACCATACCAGGCTTCAGCATACCGGTCTCAACACGACCCACTGGCACCGTTCCAATACCACCAATCTTGTAGACATCCTGAAGTGGAAGACGGAGGGGCTTGTCTGATGGCCTCTTTGGCTCGTTGATCTGGTCAAGTGCCTCAAGAAGAGTTGGTCCCTTGTACCAGTCAAGGTTAGTGGACCTCTCAATCATGTTGTCACCCTCGAAACCAGAGATGGGAACGAATGGGATTTTGTCAGGGTTGTACCCAACCTTCTTCAGGTATGAAGACACCTCCTTGATGATCTCATCGTACCTAGCCTTGGAGTACTTGGGAGTAGTGGCATCCATCTGCAACAGAGAAAGCAACAAAAGATACGAATCTGTTTTAGCAATGTATCAAAACAGTGTAATGGCAATAAGCAATGAAGACTGATTAATCTGTTTACCTTGTTACAGCAGCAAATCATCTGCTTGACACCAAGGGTGAAAGCAAGAAGAGCATGCTCACGGGTCTGACCGTCCTTGGAAATACCAGCTTCAAAACCACCAGTGGTGGAGTCAATGATGAGAACAGCACAATCAGCCTGGGAAGTACCAGTAATCATGTTCTTAATGAAATCACGATGTCCAGGAGCATCAATGACTGTGCAGTAGTACTTGGTGGTCTCGAACTTCCATAGAGCAATATCAATGGTGATACCACGCTCACGCTCAGCCTTCAATTTGTCCAACACCCATGCGTACTTGAAGGACCTCTTGTTCATCTCAGCAGCTTCCTTCTCGAACCTCTCAATCACACGCTTGTCAATACCTCCAAGCTTGTAGATCAAGTGACCAGTGGTGGTTGACTTTCCAGAGTCGACATGACCAATAACCACAATGTTGATGTGAAACTTTTCTTTACCCATAGCTACTTGTCAATTAAAATCTGCAGAGAATAAATCACACAGAAATTATCAGTAGCCATACATCAATCTCAAAATCATTCATCATAGTGAGCTGCTATCGGAATCGAACCGATTTCTACCACAATAAAGTTTGTGGTGCTCTATCCTTTGAGCTAAGCGAGCTATAGCCATCGAAATAAAGAAATTCAAAACGCAAACAAGACCAAGATAACATCGTATCTTGTTATACTGCTCCCAAATCATTCGTTCGGACAACAAATTGAGAACTAAAATCAGATGCATCTTAAAAACGTAAGCTAGCAAGTTCACTCAAATAGATCCAATCAACTATCATCACATAATACAATAGTAATACATCCTAGAAGCTCAATTCTACAATCAAGAAGATCTATGACACTAGATTAGCCATTATAAAAGATCATCTATCAATAACGAGCATCTAATTCATAAAATTAAACAATAAGCGAGCTATAATTCAATAAGCGAGCTATAATCTAAAATTAAACAATAAACTGCAGAGATCAACAGTAAGCGAGCTATAATTCATAAACAATCTGGAAATTCAAGATGCATACAAGACGAAGATAACATCGGATCTTGCTATATTGCTCCCGAATCATCCGTTCACGAAACAAACCGAGTATTAGCATCTTAAGAACGTAAGATAGCTAGTTCACTCCAAAATGATTCAATCAGCTATTCATCACATGATGCAATACAACATAGAAGCTCAAATCCACAATCAAGACGATCAACGACACTAGATCAACGATTCTAAAACGATCCTATCAAACAACGAGAATCAAATCCAAGTTCGATTCGCCAACAAAGCGCATGTAAAACAGATTTCCCTCAAAACAGATTTCAATCAACGAAGATCGATAGAAGAGAGAAAGTTCTATCGAGAAAGAAACAGATCGTCGATGCGACTAGAAAGCGCTTACCTCAGCTAAGCGATAACGATGCGGCAGAACTAGGTTTGTGAGAATAGTAGCACTCGAATTATTTATAGTGCTGACGCGAAAGAAAGCTAGGGTTTAAGATCATATCTTCTCCACAATGACAATCATGCCCCTGTTTCTCCTCCTTTTTTCTTTTTTACCTTGGTCGGTCGTTAAAGAAAATGAATACACAGTTTTTTTTTTCGGAGAAAATGGCATAAAAAGGTAGTCATTTACACTCTAAACTGAGAGTATTTTACAAACATTTTAAACATTTAAATTGGTAAATTTAACATATTAAACCTCCAATTTTATTTGTACATTAAGTCAAAAATGTAACTAGTACTATTCAAAAACGATGATGTGTCGATTTGTTTTTTTTAAACAAAATTTACTAGTAAATAAATATAAAACTACAAAAATATAAAAATTCATTACAAATTATTTTATTAATAAAATAAATATAAAATCTTAAAAGTAATAAAATAAGAAAAACTTATGAGAAATTATAAAAAAAATTCCAAACTATTGATTGATCATTAAGCTTCAGCCTTCCACTGGCTCTGTTTTCTCTAATAGGCTCTTTCTTGAGTTGTTCATAAACATTTCACTCGCCGGCTCATGATGGGCTAAAAGCTCTTGGAAGGCATATTGGACTTTAAGGACTTGTTGGCTGTTGCACACAAGTGAGCTATGACATGTCTTTTTGAGTGTATGTCTACCACTTCGCTGTTTTTGACGTTGGAGTTTCATGTGAAAATAAGTGACCAAGGGACCCATTGACCCACGAGTAGAGAGCTTTTACTTAGTGATGTAGAAGTCAGCATAACGTTGAGTAGTAAATCTCATTCAAATTTCAAAAACAAAATAGAAAGTTGTTTTCTATATTTGGCCCACCAAAAGCAAAAGGTGCCACTATTTTCCCTCCTCCACTCTTACTTTGTCTTTTATATAAGGCAACAGCTAGCAGCTACTTGAGTGATGAAACAGTCTTAAGAACTTGTTTTCTCTCTTTGGTTTGATCTCAAGACTTTTGTCTTTACACAAGCAGAGATGGAGAACATGGAAGATGGAGGAATCTTGATATAGGATGGTAGATATGTTATGTACAACGTACTCGGTAACATTTTTGAACTCTCTTCAAAATACATTCCTCCTATTCAACCTGTGGGTCGAGGAGCTTATGGTATTGTCTGGTAAGTCTTTTTTATCAAATCTTTTTGCATTCTTGTTCTTCATTCCTTTTGTTCTGTTTGCAGCTGTGCAACAAACTCAGAGACAAACGAAGAGGTTGCTATAAAGAAGATAGCAAACGCTTTTGACAACAGAGTTGATGCTAAAAGAACACTCCGTGAGATCAAACTCCTTTGCCACATGGATCACGATAATGTAATCTCTGATCCTATTTCGATTGATGAATAACACACATAGTTTTGAGGTACCATTTTCGCATTTGCTACACAGGTTATCAAAATGAAAGATATAATAGAGCCACCAGAGAAAGATAGGTTTGAAGATGTGTATATCGTTTATGAGTTGATGGATACTGATTTGCACGAGATCATAAGATCAAGTCAAACTCTAACCGATGACCATTGTCAGGCTAAAACTAGAGTCTTAATAACAAACGACTTTGAGTTGAAACATTCATCTTTCCATTTCAGGCTTTTATCGATGAACCAAAATGAGATCCAAGTCATAAACATTTATTATCAATCCAAAAGGTATCGTTTGGAAAATTAAAATAACAAACGACTTTGAGTTAAGCAACAAAGTGAATTTCAGCTAAAACTAGAGTCTTAATAAAATAATATTCCTTCTGTTTATAAATCCTCTTCTTACTCCTCCTTTTGCTTCGCAGAGGGAGTACGAGTTGAGTAACGGTATCCACTTGTCAACCTTCCTACAAACTTAAGAACTTCATCTATCAAAATCACCGGAAGCGACACAGCCAACACAAGCAACCACTCATTCAAACTCAACGGCACTATCCCAAACACCTGAGCCAAGAACGGCACATACAATATCACAAAATGCAGCCCAAACGACACAGCCATCGCCAGCAACAGCCACGGGTTCACCCAAGGTGGCATCGTCACAAGACTACCGTCCTCAGACAGTGCGTTCAACGAGTTGAACATCTCAATAGCCACCAACACAGAGAGGGAGAGTGTTGACGCTTTGATTTTCCCTTGATGGAAGTACTCACACGGGTTTGAGTCGAAGGTGAAAGTCTGAGAGCCAGCTGTGAAAGGAGAGACTTTGAAGCCTTCCCATGATGAGCATTGTCCCCAGTTTGCTAGCTGTGAGTAGCTTACTAGGCTGTGGCCGTCTTGGCTTAAGTCTATGCCCATGAAGCTGCTGTGTGTGTACCATATTATGAATACTCCAACCGTTGCTACTCCCACATACATACCAATCACCTGTACATAACACATTATTTAGTCAAGCATTTTTTAAAAAAACAAGTGAGAAGAATCTGTGTGTTTGCGTACCAGATAACGGAATAGGATCCATGCAGTGATGAGCGAGTCATCGCTTCTGCGAGGGGGCTTCTTCATGATATCCTTGTCAGGGGGATTGAATCCCAAAGCAGTAGCTGGAGGACCGTCTGTTACGAGGTTCACCCACAGAAGCTGAACTGGGATCATGCCTTCTGGGATTCCAAGAGCAGCTGTCAAAAATATCGATGCAACCTCACCAATGTTGGAAGAGATCATGTACCTTTTTATTCATCACAACCAGATTAATAGGATCAATATATGTTTACCGAAGAGGTGTGTATATATAAAAGTAAAATATAGAAGACTCACCTGATGAAAGCCTTCATGTTGTTATAGATGGACCTGCCTTCACCAACAGCTGCAACAATAGTGCTGAAGTTATCATCTGCTAACACCATGTCTGATGCCTCCTTTGCTACCTGCAAAAATAACTCCAGAGCTTTAGAAAAAAAATAATAATCATCCCGTTGTTGCAAATGAGTTGTTGCAAATGAGAGGAGACGGATATGTACCTCTGTGCCGGAGATACCCATAGCCACACCTATATCAGCTAACTTCAGGGCTGGAGCATCATTAACTCCATCTCCAGTCATGGCAACCACTTCTCCATCTTCTTTGAGTAACCTAACAATCTCTTGTTTGTGCTTTGGTTCAGCCCTCGAGAACAAGAGCCCTCCAGTTTGCCTTAGATGATTCTTCTGATCTTTAACATCCATGAATTCTTTTCCAGTCAAGCTTCTTGAGGAGATATCTTCATCTGCCTCAAAAACTCCAATCTCACGGCAGATTGCTTCCGCGGTGCTCTTGTTGTCTCCGGTTATGACCATGACTCGGATACCTGCTGTTCTGCAGTCTGCAATGGCTTGACGCACTTCTTTCCTCGGAGGATCCTTCACACATTGTTAAAGTTAGAGCATGAATAAATGACCAAAGAAGAAAAAGATGGAACTGAAACTCACTCTTAGGCCAACAAATCCAACAAATGTTAGATTGGACTCAATAGAAGAATAATTGGATGGGTTGAGAAGTTGCTGGTGAGCTGGATGGTCTTCACTGCCATCATAAGTAGAAAAATCTGCTGGAACATCCGAGTAGGCAAATCCCAGACACCTTAAAGCATTCATTGACATATCACGTAGGCTTTGTAAAATTAGATCCCTTGAGTATTGGTCAAGTGCTTGAGTGGAACCATCAAGTAACTGAATATGTGTACTCCTTTCCAATACATTCTCAACGGCACCCTGCAAAAAAATCAAAATCGGTCTCTTAGGGGCTGAACAAAAGAGAGGACATAGATTTCTTTCAACTAAATAACATGTATCCATCATAACCAAACCACAACCCACATACTAACAGATGAGATAGTTAACCATAATATCAAAACCGGTCTCTTAGGGGATGAAGAAAAAAGAGAGGACAAAGGTTTTTTCAACTCATAACATGCATTCATACGAAACAAACCACAAGCTACATAATCATAGATCAAAGGAAATCCATAATATTATGCTAAATAGAGAAAAACAGACCTTGACCAGTAGCAATTTCTGTCCTGAGCTAGAATCCACCATAACTCCCATTGATTTCCTGTCTCGGTCGAACTCAAGAGTGGCAATCCGTTGCTCTAGTTCACTCCATAACCGACAACAGCCTTCAGAAATGTCAAGAAGTTAGTCAAGAAGTTATATACGAGAGACTGGTAAAACCGATTCACCATAGTATTAATGCACATTATACTAGTGTGATATTTTAAAAATCGAGTATATGGAGCTGTAAAAAAACGAGTCTGGTAAAACCGATTCACCGTAGTATTAATGCAGATTATAGTAGTGTGATATTTTAAAAATTACAAAAAAAAAATATCAATTAAATCTTGCATCTGCTAAATTGTGTAAAACATGAGAAACAAGTATAATTAAGAAACATACGTAAGACACCGCCATCAGTCAAAGATGAAGATTTGTTAGCTCCTTCAGGGAATCCCATTTTCTCAACCAAAACCTATTCAATGAAACAAATACAGATTAACACTTGAGAGCCTTTGAAACTTGAAAACAAAGAGAAAAAGAAGTCTAATTAGTTTAGAGTAGTAGACTGTTTTACCTTCAAAGCTGCCTCAGTAGGCATGCCCCTAGAAACAAACTGATTCTCAGATTGCTCAACATTAGCATCATTGCAAATGGCAGCAATTTTTGCAATCATCTGAAGATTTGCATCCATCCTACCCACAGGCCAATCTTCAATCTTCCCATCTCTAGGATCAAAAGAAGTCCCCTCAACATTAAAAGATCTAAGCGTTCCAATCCTAGATCCCATAGCAACAAGCTTCGAAACAGCCATCTGATTAGTCGTCAAAGTTCCAGTTTTATCAGAACATATCACAGTTGTGCACCCAAGCGTCTCCACACTAGGCAACTTCCTAACCAAAGCATTCTTCTGAGCCATCTTCCGCGTCCCAAGAGCCAAACATGTGGTAATAACAGCTGGAAGACCTTCTGGAATTGCAGCAACAGCTAACGCTACAGCAATCTCGAAGTAGTATGTGCATTTCTCAAAGGAGAACTTGAAGTTTCTTGGCCACCCATCAACATACTCCCAGGAGAGAAAGTACTTTACATTGATGAGCCAAACTAACACACAAATCAACCCAATGATCATAGTCAAAGCTTCTCCGAACTCATTAAGCTTCTTCTTCAAAGGAGTATCTTCCTCATGTTGTGCAGCTTCCTGAATCTGTGAATGTACTCTCCCAATCTCAGTATTCATCCCAGTCTCCGTAACTAAACAAACACAGTTCCCATTCACAACAATAGTCCCTGCAAACACCATACACTTCTTCCCCTGAATATCAGCACTCTCCTCAACAGACTTGGTAGTTTTACTCACCGCCTCACTCTCTCCAGTCAAAGACCCCTGCTCAACTCTCAACGTGGAACTAACCAAACCCACAACACGCATATCCGCAGGGACCTTATCACCAACCCTAAGCTCCACAACATCCCCAGGAACAAGCTCCTTAGCAGGCAAGCTAGACACTTTAACCCCATCACGCATCACAGTCGCCTGCTGAGACTGAATCTCCTTCAAAGCCTCCAACGCCTTCTCAGCATTAGTCTCTTGCCAGATCCCAACAATAGCATTCACAATCAAGATCAAGAAAATCACAAGCGGCTCAACGAAAGCAGTGATCCCCATCTCTCCACCTTCTTCACCATCAACGAAAGCTAACACAAAGGAGATAACAGCAGCAGCTAAAAGAATACGAACCAAAGTGTCATTAAACTGTTCCAAAATCAACTTGAAAAGTGACGTTCCTTCAGGCTTCTCTAACTCGTTCAAACCATAGATCTGATGACGTGTCAAGACCTCGCTAGTAGCTAAACCTTTCTCAACGCTAACACCAAAGTGTTCTTCGCATTCTCTAACGTCTTTAGCCCAAGCGGGGAAAGTATCGCACGATTTGGAGGCATTGGTTTGCTTATTCACCAAGTCTTCTTCACCTCCTTTCCCCATTTAGATCGTATAACTGAAAATTCAACGATAAAGGATGAGAGTTTGAAGGAAAGAGAGACTACGAGATCGTGAAGCTCACCAGATCCACAATCAAGACGATCAACGACACTACCAATTATGAGCACCGAATCCAAGACTAAACAATAAATCCGCAGAGATCAATTGTAAGCGAGCTATTATTCAAAAAATCAGGATCTTGCTATATTGCTCCCGAGTATTGGCATCCTAAGAACGTAGGAGAGCACGTTCACTCAAACAGATTCAATCAGCTATTAATCACATTATACAATACATCCAAGAAAACTCAATTCCACAATCAAGATCTACGACACTAGATCAACGATTATAAACGACCATCTATCAACAACTGAGAGTCAAATACAACATTAAACAATAAATCCGCAGAGATCAACTGTAAGCGAGCTATAATTCATAAAATGAAAAAAGAAGAAGGATATTCAAGCTGCATACAAGACGAAGATAACATCGGATCTTTGCAATATCGGTACAGAATCATCCATTCACAAAACAAAACGAGTATTAGCATCTTAAGAACGTAAGATAGCTAGTTCACTCCAAAATGATTCAATCAGCTATTCATCACATGATGCAATACAACGTAGAAGCTCAAATCCACAATCAAGACGATCAACGACACTAGATCGACGATTCTAAAACGATCCTATCAAACAACGAGAATCAAATCCAAGTTCGATTCGCCAACAAAGCGCATGTAAAACAGATTTCCCTCAAAACAGATTTCAATCAACGAAGATCGATAGAAGAGAGAAAGAAACAGATCGTCGTTGCGACTTACCTCAGCTAACCGATAATCGATGCGGCAGAGCTAGGTTTGAAGAAGAGTAACACTCGAATTATTTATTGTGCTGACGTCAAAGAAAGCTAAGATCATATCTTCTGCACAATGACAATCATGCCCCTGTTTCTCCTCCTTTTTTTTCTTTTTACCTTTCCTCCGGTAACTTCTCAATATTTACGGAATCTCGAAATTCCAATAGTACCCTTAGTCGTGTTTTATCTATAACATTATTTGCGAAGTGATTTTTCGCGACGGAGCTCTCACGTTAAAAGTTAGAGCGGTTAATATCTATTCTACCCTTAATGAAAATTTTATATATAACTAATTTTATAATTAAAAACGAAATTTAAAAAATAAAATTAGATAAGTATGTTATTATCTTAGATAACTGAGAATAATTAATATAATAAGTTTAAAAAAAAATTTAGAAAAGATAATTCTTATGTATGTTATTATTATCTGAATATAATATTGTAACAACATGATAATGCCTATATATCTTAATTTTATATATAATTTATTTTGGCTTTTGAAAATAATATCATTCTATTATAAAATTTTAAAATCAAAATAAAAAATTGATTTTAATTAAATATTAATCAAACAAAAACATTTGTATTAAAAATTAAAAAATCTATGCAATATAAAAGATTAATAAATTTGATTATAAATATTAGATTAATTAAAAGTATTTAGACTTAAATGATACCTTTAATGAAATTTATATATTTATATATAAATTAGTTAAAACGAATTTTATGTTAGTGATTGAAATTTATATGTTCTTAAATTAGTTAATTTATTATAAATTAGTAGGATAATTATCCACAATCATGCATATTTAAAACATAAGATATCTTATAGAATATTATACAGTTATCTGAAAATAATATTTTTATTATGAAAAATAAAAATTTAAGTTATAAAACAATTTAAAATTAAATATTAAGAAAAAATATAAATATATTTTCAAAAATATAAATAAATTTTCAAAAATATTGTATTACTGTTTAATTTAGGTTTTTAAAACTATAAAAAATAATTTATAATATGATTTAGAATTAATAAAACAAAAATAATAAATATTCGTAGCAAAATTATGTCCGCATATGCGGGCACAACACCTAGTTCATATTAATTTTCATTGCCACACGCACACCTATTTAATCAAAGGCTATGGAAGCAACATTTAGCTACTAATCATCTCCAGAATTTACATGTATATAATATGTCATTTCTAAAAATAGTATAAGCGAAGTGATTTTTCGCGACGGAGCTCTCACGTTAAAAGTTAGAGCGGTTAATATCTATTCTACCCTTAATGAAAATTTTATATATAACTAATTTTATAATTAAAAACGAAATTTAAAAAATAAAATTAGATAAGTATGTTATTATCTTAGATAACTGAGAATAATTAATATAATAAGTTTAAAAAAAAATTTAGAAAAGATAATTCTTATGTATGTTATTATTATCTGAATACAATATTGTAACAACATGATAATGCCTATATATCTTAATTTTATATATAATTTATTTTGGCTTTTGAAAATAATATCATTCTATTATAAAATTTTAAAATCAAAATAAAAAATTGATTTTAATTAAATATTAATCAAACAAAAACATTTGTATTAAAAATTAAAAAATCTATGCAATATAAAAGATTAATAAATTTGATTATAAATATTAGATTAATTAAAAGTATTTAGACTTAAATGATACCTTTAATGAAATTTATATATTTATATATAAATTAGTTAAAACGAATTTTATGTTAGTGATTGAAATTTATATGTTCTTAAATTAGTTAATTTATTATAAATTAGTAGGATAATTATCCACAATCATGCATATTTAAAACATAAGATATCTTATAGAATATTATACAGTTATCTGAAAATAATATTTTTATTATGAAAAATAAAAATTTAAGTTATAAAACAATTTAAAATTAAATATTAAGAAAAAATATAAATATATTTTCAAAAATATAAATAAATTTTCAAAAATATTGTATTACTGTTTAATTTAGGTTTTTAAAACTATAAAAAATAATTTATAATATGATTTAGAATTAATAAAACAAAAATAATAAATATTCGTAGCAAAATTATGTCCGCATATGCGGGCACAACACCTAGTTCATATTAATTTTCATTGCCACACGCACACCTATTTAATCAAAGGCTATGGAAGCAACATTTAGCTACTAATCATCTCCAGAATTTACATGTATATAATATGTCATTTCTAAAAATAGTATAAGGTAGCCATTAACCATGGTTTCATTAACTAAACTACAAGCAATGTTAATGTCATACATTAACCTCAAAATCTCATGACAACGGAAACAATTTATAAAAAAAAACAATATTTGTCCCATTCCACGAGCAAATGTCAAAGCTAAAGTAAATCAGAAAAACTCCAGAGGACCTGAGACTAAGGCAGGAGGATCTATCACTATACGACTAGCCTTGCCATCTGCATAAAGCTGAGGCAAAGCGTTGGCTTCTCTTGCAGTAACGCCTTCTGCAGTCCACAATGTAACATGTGGCCATTCGTTCTTGGAGACTATGGCCTCTCCGTCCACAGATCCTACATGGGCTGTAAAAGCAGCCATCTTGTCGTTGAAGATGAGTTCTGTGAGCTCTACGGGTACTTCTCTGTTTAGGTGTTGACCGTATCTTGCTACAGCTGCTACTCCGTGGCTTCTCTTGTGGGCAAGTGTGACGTGGGCACGTTCGAGTTTTTCTTCTATGCGGTTCTTCTTTCCTTCTAGAAAAGATCTCATTGTTGGGTTTGATTCGGCTAACTGATGAGAAGAAAATAAACATCTATTAAGAACACAGTCCATTTGAGTTTAAGAATCTTGTTGGTTTACCTTTTCAAGAAGACTATGGACTTGAGTAACGGGTAAGTTGATAGCAGCGAAGACGATAGACCCATGTTTTGTTTTCTCTGAGCTTGGTGGTTTGTATTCACCCTTTGCGATTCGTTTTAGCTCTTCTCGCACATGCTGAACCGCAGACTCAAACGGAACCTGAAAGATGCAAACAAAAAAAAGCAAACACATCATATCTGCAACACATACTGCCTCTTATACATGTGCTGAAGGAATCAAAGCAGTTGCAATACCAAGCATGGGATTCTAGCTTTTTCGTAAGCCATCAATGACAGAGGATATCATTGTTACCTGAATAGAATTGAGATACACGGAATGTGCATTTAAAGTATTGCGAAGCTGCTTCTCCCATTTAGTCCACTCCGCTGCATAGGTTCCTTTCGTGGACTCAAGCCTACCACAAGGAAAAAAAAAGAAGGAAAGCAAAAAGGTCAGAAACAACCGGACTAAAGGTATAGCTGAAGAGATGAAGTAAAATAACGGTAGTAACACCAACAAGAAATAATCTCTGTGAGCACAGTCATTCATAGGATATCTATCTCCTGAAACATGACTAAAGTGTACATCTAATCACAGAGTAAACAAACATGAGTGTTTTTGGTGTCTTCCTCGTTAGTTTTTGCTATTTTGTTACTGATTGCATTGCTTTTTAATGTCTGTATACACAGTGTTGCTCAAAATATAATACAAACAAGTTTTACTGGTTTCCAGCACATACTTCGATTTGATATATTTAAACTTATAAAGTCATGTAAATGGTAGTGTTAGCTACTCACCTCCCATGCCTTCTACTGTGGAGCTGGAACAAGTCTATGCCCTCCTCAAGAATCGATTTAACAGGATCAGGTAAAGGACTCCTGTCATATGCACAAAGACATGTTAGTGCCAGTCTGTTATCTGATCTCACATGTAATGCAGAAAAATACCTTTCTGATCTCAACAGCGGCATCTTGACGAGGGAGCCAAATCGATCAATCAATTCACTCTCAAATTCTTTGCGGTTCTGAAAGTATAAAAAAACAGTCCAAATAAATGTTAGATCCACTAATGGAACTGCTTAATGAACCTTTGGGTGTATGTAAAAAGTACCTTTCCCTCATAAAGGTGGTAGAACATCAACAGCACATAGCCTGCATTCGAAGATGCTTTGTCGAGATTCCCCTGAAAATATCCAGTTTTACAAAAGAAACAATAGCTTGTTAAGAAACTGTGTATGATATAGTTGAAGACAAACTGTGTATAAGATGCAACTGCATACCGGATGGTTAACTCTTTGAAGTACACGGAACATGAAAACAGCTAAGGCATCAAGTGAATATGGATTTGACTCGGTTCCTGTAATATTCACATGGGGACCAAAAGTTAACAGTGCAAAACAGACATTGCAGAGAGTACTGTGTATGAGATGAGCCAAGGTAGAAGATGATCATAGAGTAGATACGTAGTTACATACCTTCAGAATCAGGAACGACTGGAACTGCAGAAGTCCTAGTTTTCCGACACATTTCTTCAATCTAATAGGAAAACACAATAATTATACTGAAATGAGACATCTCAAGACACACAGAACGTGGAAAAAGGTATCAAGTCAACAACTTAATATTGACATGAGTACTCTCGAAAGATAATTAGGCTTACACTATCCAACCTATCCATGTATATATACTAAAGGCAGGCTAATTCAAAAAGATTATTTCAGTCAACCAAGTGACAGTGTCATGGAATTAAATATTCATGATGATAGCCATTAGGCAACAAAGAAACTAAATATGGTTGCAACAATATTTGCAATGTCTTTGATAAGAATCTACTCGGTAATAACCCAAGTTCGCTCTAAAAAGGAGTCACGGGTAGAGCTATAAGAAGAGATTCTCAGCGTAGGACTAGTTACCTGTCTCCAGACATCTTCATTTGGGGCATTTTTGTCAGCCAACATAATTGATTGAGGCTTTTTACGACGTTCATCAGCAACCTTTGGCCAATATTTTCCTGCCCAGAATGTATAATAATATATCATGAGGTGGCATAAGCAAAACTGAGAGACCATAACAATTTTGAGAAAATCCCAAAATTTTAAAATACCTTTGACAAGATCACCAATCAGAGTATGCACTGGCTGATCATCTCCAAGGCCTTCTTGGGCGTTCAATAACTCCTTACAAAGTGCAGATTTAGCACATCCAGGAATCCCTGAGAACACATTAGAGACGAATCTTAACACATTAGATCCCTCTTTTATCATTAATATCTGAATCAGCATAACAATCAACTAAGTTTATATAAAAATATAAGAACGACTACCATCTTTAAACAATTTAACAAAGGAATACCTGGAAAGAATACAATTAACCCTTCAGTCTTGTGGACAGATTCCTTCACAGCTGGCTCAGGAGTAGCTGGTGTCACTTCCTCCTTCACAAGATCACCCTCTTCATCTAGATCACTGTCAACAAGGGCCAAAAAGTCCTCAGCTCTCACTAGATTCCCAGCAGACCCTATCAAAACTTGATTCTTTGGGCTCCGTTTAGCGTACTCCTCCAGGAATGGCTCCGCTTCGCTTAGATATATTGATGAAGATAGCTGTTTATTTCCACATTTTCTTTTTATGTGAGTAGCCCTGAATCATTAAAGAAACAGAGAGATACACATTCAAAAAGCAGAAACTTTTCTTGAACAAAAGGTTAGGAAATAAGTTAATATGAGGTTAGTCTAGATGTGTAAAGTGATAATGGTACCATTCATCAAGCATCTTGCAAAGTTCTTTCTGCTTTCCATCAGAAGTCCCCCATATTTTCATTTGCCTGGGTACAAAAACATTACTAAATTAAAAAACAAAATCAAATTACAGCTTGATAATATAAAAAATCCCCAATATCTCCACCATGGTGATCCTTCCCTACAGATAAAAAATCAAGAACTAGTCTCCCTATATCAGGATTGCCAAAGCTATCTCTCTATATATATATCAATATATTCATATGAAGAAAGCAGCTCACCTAAGGTAATAGGTTTTGTAAGCTGCCGGCCCCTCTTTAAAGAGAATTGATAGGCCATTGCGGATCAGAAAGGTTCTCAACTGTCAAAGAAGCGAAGACATGTCCATCATCACGATAACAACGCAGAGAAAGAGGTAGAAAAGTACGACAAACCAAATATCCCTCTATAGCCAGAAGACCTTGCTTAGAAAGAAAACATACCTTATATGTGAGAAACTTCAATTTTATCATTAAGTTAGCATCATCATCAGCCAAACCATCTTTTCCTTGTTGACCACTATTTTCTCTGGCATCTTTGACCGCATTATCATTGCTTTTCAGAGCCATCGGATCCCTCTCTTTGTTTGACTTGAACAAATTAATATCAACAAAGAAACCTGGAAAAGAAAAACCCAAAGAGAATCACTGAAATGGTATATCGATATGTCCAACTATTCTCTGTGTATGGAGACCAATGTGTGCTACCACAACAAGGAAATCTGACACGCCTGGAAAGTTTAACTTCCTAGTAAAATTATATTTCACAAAGACTAAGAACTACAGAACGTAGAGAAAAAGTTATTAAGTCTAGCAAATGAAACAGAAAATGGTGCATAGTTATTGTCTTAAAGAACAAAGCTAAAGAATCAGAAACAGTAAAATAATGTCTACCTCGATATAAAGGCCACAAGCCAGGGGTGTGCCTGGAAAACGGTAATTGTATGGTTGAGTACACAGATATCAATCATCCTTGGTTCGATCACACTAAAGACATAAGCTATTAAGGAAGTGTTTAAAGATAACCTCATCTCTTTCTGGTAACGCCTAAATCCTGAATCACTGTGCACATGGACAACCAATTTATAAAATAGGTTGTCAGGTGACACATCGTTAGCTCTGTTAAAATTATGGTAGCATTTGAATGCGGCTGGAAGACGTTTTTCCTTCATCAAGCGTATCATTTCCTGTGGAATGCAAATATTTAGGTGTTCATCAAAGCACATAAAAGAAGGGAAGCTGGTTAAATCTTAACGACATGAAAGAACATTGCAAATGAAAGATGCATTTTATAACTATCAGCAATTACGCAGAGCTCAAGCTACCTGTAATTTACTAGTTGAATAATCTGCAGGCTGAGATTGAAGAAATTTTGTTACAACAGATTTGTCAGCATTTTTTGAATGAGAATCCGCAGATTCATCTCCAAGCCAGTCCAAGTCACTGGGGCAAAAGCTTGGGCCAACACTCTTTAAAAGTGCTTTTATTTGCTGCAACACCCACAGAAAGGAAAAAAAAGGCCCCTCTAGAATGAGAAACCTTTACTAAGAGATGATAGCAAAAATAAAAACACTCGACATGTTTTCGAACCTGTTCCTCGTTAGATCTATGGGCAGCGCATACCTCTCTTAAACTGAGTCCCAAATTAAGATCAGCTGAAATATTGGGAAACAAAAAACCAAGAGGAAATTTTAAATATCTACATGGACTTGATAGAGTGGAGTATTATAAAACTAAACAAGGATAGGATAATGGACCTCCATCAAAGGGTGGTGGGGGATGATCTCTCAAGACATTCTCCATATCTCTGGCGCTCCCACTGCTCACGATACGTGCCACAAGACCCTCTAATATCTCACCTTGCACCTTCACATGGTCCTTGGAGGCTGATCATTTTCATGCAAATTCATTCAATGAACTTAAGTTAATTTTTTTGAAAAACCTAATATGAATTCTCATGACTAGGAAAAAGGAAAAAACATTACCTGGGACTGATATATCAGCTACTTCATCAAGAGCTCTACAGACTGAAGTTGCTGTCCCTTCTTCACAGAGTGCATCAAAGGCAGCGAAAAAAGAGGTCACTGATTTCCTTCACAAAATACACGCAACCACAACTATAGTTAGGTTGAGTTAGCTGACAGGAGTGTCCAGACAATATTGTTCAGAGATATCAAAAAGCTAACTAGAGGAACAGTACATTCTTGTAAGAAAACATTAGCCAAGTGCTAATTAAGTTACCTTGTGGAAAACAGCCAAACGTGATTTGTTGGTAGACGCCATTTCCGGCAAAACGCAATTATCTCAGAAGTTGAATAGAACTTTGGCTTGCCATTACCTAACTCGGTAACAGCCGTCACTACCACTGCAAGATGCAAATCAACATTTAAATAATGCACTAAATATTTTTGAAAGGCAAATGATTCTGAACATCTAAAATAGTAGTTCACCGTAATCATCCAGTGGGCGTTGACCATGATCTCCAAGAACAGCTGTTACCAGTTCCATAGATATACACATGCGATTTTTCTGGGAAAAGATAAAACATATTACTGTATGAGATATCCTGTTCTGGCAATTGATTAAGCCTTGAGCATTTACATTTTTTTATTTCCTAAAGTTCTGTCCATGGACATACCTCGAGAAAATCATTAAACTCTGCTTCCTTCTTTACCGCCTTAGTTCCCCAAGCCTCTCTAAACATCCGTGAAAGAACAAAAACACCAACCGCAGTATAACTGCAAATGAAGCATTGTTAGCATGTGAGATAACCTTTTAGCCGTTATCTCAAATGGCAAGCCCCAGTCCATATAACATTCAAAAATGAAACAAAAAAGTAGTAAAATTCATTTGTTTCATCACAATGTTTTTAAAACCTATCTCCACTACAGCTTCCATATAGTGTGGAATCTATATCCATGGACCATAAGAGAGACACTTCCATCAGAAACCAAAATACATCCAGAAGTAAAACATAAGAAATACCGTTGGACGTGACTAATTCATAAAACTAAGATGGAGGAAGTAATCCATTCACTAAATGAGATTAATGAAAAGCATAAACCAAATCTAAAGCTTGTATGGGTTTATTCACTACTGGTTTTCCCTTTGTCTAAAGATCATTTGTGAAAAGCTCGTCACGAAAAAAAGAAAGGAATATACGAAGACGAGTAAAAAACTGAAGCTAGGAATAAATGAGCTTACATATTACCAAAACTGTTCTTTGCATATGCTCCACCACTGTGCCCAGCATACATAAAGAGAGAACCTGAATGCTTAAGAGAAACCTATAAAGAGTGAATTAAAAAAAAAACCAGTAAACCGTTAGAACTTCAGAGTGGCAATAGAGGTACTCAGATATAAAGTGTATGCAATGTAATTTATACCTCCAGCGTTGCCAACCCTTTAGACACCATCTCAATCATCCGTGTTCTTATCTACCAAAACCAAGACAAATACAAAATGAATAACCAAAACTAACAATTAGTGCTACTCAAGGAATGAAACTTGCGAGAGTTTACCTCTTGATCCGTCTTTTCATTCTCAAACTTGGGATAAAAAGTGGCTCTAATCTGAGCCTGACAATAAGCCGACTTGTCCACATTAAAATCATCCAAGTACTCACCTCCATAAAACTTCCTCTGATTGAGACCAGCTTTTTGAGGTGTTGCATCTCTAGATGAACTCACAGCCTTAGGCTTCCACACTTGAACATTAGCGTTGCTTTCCTCAAGACTCAACCCACCAAACTGGTTCTTCACTGCCTCAGCAGCAACGGACACAGAACGATCACTACTGGATCCACACGGAGCATCAATCTTCGGCTTCACTTGCCACTTCTGATCAGCTTGAGCTCTCTTTATCTACCAACAAAAAGTCCCTAAGTCAACTCTAGTAACGCATATAGACTATAGTACTAATGCACCACACATTAGAAACAGAACCAATCAAAAACAGATAAAGGTGGAGACTTTAGATAAATGATTAACGAAAGTCGACAGATTTGTGAAATTACTAAAACCCCCACCTGTTTTTTAGGCATGTCCGAGTTGAAACAAAGATGGCGAGACAAGGTAACGTAGGGAGAAGATGAACTGAGAAGAGAGGATGTCAAGAGTCTTCTGCGTGGAACCAAAGACATCCACACGTGGATTCTTCTAGTGCAGAGCACGTAGATATCGAGATGGAGTCTCTCCAACTAAGCGGTGAGGTTTAACTGTCAGGAAGACGGAGAAGCCTGTGGAAAGTGTTGTGGTGCGGTGAAGAGCACTGTAACGGAGATGGTCACGCTATAGTTAATGGGCCTGGTTTAAGCCCAGTTTCGTTGGGCCAGAGGAACATTATCGGAAGAAATAAACTTTGAGAATGTGAATGAGTGACGGCTTCTTCAGATTTAAGGTTTTTATTTTTCCGGTTCACGTGAACCGAATAGAGTTATATAACTTGCTTGTCGGTTCACTGCATTAGCAAAGTCATAACCGGATTGATCTAAACTCGGTTCGGTTTGCTCAGTGCGGTTATAAATCTCACGGCTATTTGGAAAATTTACCAACATGAACCATACAACCTTCACATATTAAACTGAACAGAAAAATAAAATAAAACAATGAATAAAAATTCAATTGAGAAAATGAATAGGAATTTATGTTCAATTCTTTCCTCATAAGCATTGTTTCTTCATATTTTTTATTCTTGAAGATATGAGAGGAACAGAGTGGAATCTATGTCTGTAATCTGAACAAGAAAAAATTAACATAAATGGTATAACAATTGAGGAATAAGAATTTCACCATTATTTTTTATTTTCCTAAAATGTTGTTACCAATTGAAGCTTAAATTCTTTGGATAAATTCACCATAAATTTATTACATTTTAAAGTATATCTAACATGTGTATGCTAAATTGCTAACTAACCCTGAGTAACTTGATATAGGGTTTTGAAGTGAACTAGATCAAAATCAAATCAGAAGAGGATTACACCACAACATTAATGAGTTGGTGTTGAAGTCCTTGTCTTCAATGAATCCAAAATCATTGCTCTCTTCGTCGGAGCTGTTAATGAACTCATCATTATCACAGTTTCCCAAAGAACTCTCAAAGGTCATCATGTTATGTTGTTCTTGGTTTGGTTTGTCCATGTTGTTAATCAATTCTAGTAAACTTGATCTTTGATACTGCATGCTCACTATCTCCACTTGAGCTTTTGCAAGCTCTGCTTGGAGTTCACTCACTTGTCTTTGTAGATTGTATATGGCACCGGCAGAGCCATACACCGGATCTCTAATTCTAGCTTCGGCTTCATACACCAGACTTTTCACTGCATCAGTTCTTTGTGATTCGGGAAGTTCCTAAAATAAATGTCATCATTGTAAGCTCGAATTTAGACTTATGAAAAAATTGATAAAAATGATATATAAGTTGTTACTTTTTTAGTTGACCATGAAGAGTAAAGATCATTATTCTAAACAACTTTTTCAAAGGTGCAGAAAAGAAAAAATGTTGACAAAGACAATTGATGATCATCATAATCGATTCATCCTCATATATATATATACATATATATATATGTTGGTATTAAATAATAAGAGATTTTTTTTATAAAAGAACAAAAAAATGGAAAAGGGTAAGCTAGATATGAACATGTGATGCAGCTTTGTATGAATTTTCATTGACATTACAGAACAAGTACGGTCTAGTTTTCACATGACATATAAACCCCCTTTTTCGAAACAACTATTTCACTAGATTCCAAATTAGAACAAAGACAGCATTATTACCTTCTATCTATTAATTATATAAATATATCTTTGGTTTTAATTCAAGTTAAAAGTTTTAGTAATTATTACACCAACAGTACATAGTTAGCTACCTGTAAGAGCTTAATGATGTTGCTGGCTCCAAATACACGGTGGGCGATGCTGAACTTGGCTGGCTCCGTTGGAGGAAAGTACGGTGCCAAAACGCACTTCTCCCCGCAACGCCGTCGCAGGATTTTGCAAGCGGCGCATGGGCTAACCACCACACGCGGTGGTGGAGGAGAAGGGGCTGGAGAAGAATAAATGACAGAGGCAGAAGCGTCAACTTTACTCTCCATATCAAGCATTATCAACTTAGGAGTAGTGTTTAGTTCTTTTTGGTGGGGAATATAGAGAAGTGTATTTATAGGGAGAGAGAGAAAATGAGATGATCACGTTACATAAGAAGCTCGAGTTATGATGTCATATATTTTTGGTTGAGACATATGTATTTTCACTTTAATGTGGTTACTAAATTCCTTCCACGCTTTCAAGTTTCAACGGTTGCTTGACTTTGGAACAAATAGTTTCTTGATCTCTTCTTGATTTTTCTCCATGCTTAACTAGATTCCAGTGAGACACTAAAAGTCCATAATAGCTCACAACATTGGTTAGTCTACGTACGGGTCTTCTACTCTTAATGTCGAGATTCTAGAATGGTGTTCCTGCTAAATGAAGATTTCATGCAGTGTATTATAATTCTTTATTTTTAAATGTATTATAATTCTTTGTTTATCAAGCTTGTATATAGTCGTTTTAAAAGTCATGTTAACACAAAAGTTGAGTTACATATATAAGAGAAATGAAAATACTATGAATCAAAAAGATATAAATCCACTTATGAAAAAAAGATATAAATCCATAGTCCATATATAACTTTCTAGAATATGTATGCATAGAAATGATGCATGTTCTCGTAATGATATAATAGTAAACTTTTTTTTATTTATTTATTTTGATAAAAAAGCCTTTTATTTATTTATCTTATCAAAGTTGATCTTTATTCACCGGTGACTATTTGCAAGTCGTACTTTAAGTATTGGTACTTGGTAGCTAGTGAGATAACAACACAAAAGGCCAAGTGATTATTTAGGTTGCCTAATTTTTGCTGAATCGTATTTTGTTTTTATTAACCAATATTCTTGGAACTTCTTTGTATTTTAGCTATGTATATTGTCTTAAAGACTTTTTATATGAATGACTTATCGCTCGAAGTGACGGTATATGCAAAATACAAAATCACTAGACTCATATATTAAAACTCTGCTAAAACTCTGTTAGGACACTATCATACTAACTAAATAATAAAGAGTTGGATATAAATTCTCACAATTCCAATAATTAGTATCATAGTCAAGTTTGATGAAAATTATGCAAGAAAACTAAAATACCATTCAAAATATGAATGGTATATTTTGAATTAGGAATGAGATGTGTAACACACGAGAAATTGTAATCCTTAGTTTGAGATGGATAATATGAGATATCAAACAAAATCATGCATTAGAAGTTTAGACGAAGAATGTCTAAGCTACAAAAAGATATCTAAATCTAATTAGTACGAGATATTTTGATGAAGAATCCAAAGTAAATTAATGTGAATTTATCTCTTAAGTCTAAACTGAATAATATTGTACTAATAAAATAATAAAGAGTTGGATACAAAACTTCACAATTCCAACACTTTGTATCAGAATTAGGTTTGATGAAAATTTTACAAAGAAACCAAAATATCCTTTTAGTAAGAATAGAACCCTTCAAATTGAAAGAGAAAATTTTTGGTGGAAATTAACCAGAAGATAATGAGTATCTACTATATAACGAGATGTTTAATTCTAATTAGTATAAGATTTTTTTAGAAATAAAATTAAAATAAATATATGCATATTTACCTATTAGGTACAAAATGGATAATATTATACTAATCGAATTTTATTATAAAGTAGGACAAACTTTCACAATCTCAACATGTACTAGATTGATGTTTACTCCCCAAAGATCCGGGTTAATATTTTTTTTCTTTGGGAGGGGGGAGGAGAGGGGTAAAAGAAACCATCAATTATTCAATAGGTGTATACTTCACCAATATTAATAAAAAACAAAATACAAAATCACATAAATAGAAGAATGACACGTATAGTCATGTGGAATCACTAGTTATTGGGTGTGCTCTTGTTCCCACCTTCAACAGCTTGCTATCTCTTTACTATACGTACTCTCTCAACTAAATCTCCAACTCCTTTATGAAAACGACAAAAGATTTTTTTTCTTTAGATATATACCGTATATATTGATTGCATCACACATACGTATATTCACGCCCAGTTAGGTAGTTTGGATGTTACTAGACATAATTTTCTTTTTTTGGATCAAACTAGACATAAATTAAACATCGACTTTATGATAAGTTTGTGAGTGGAGGTTTCTTAAACGTCTTTTGTTTTAGTGACTTATCTGAAGTGTTATCTTTTTGACGCGAAAGTGAAGTATATCACTTTAGAATATTAATTCAGCAAAAGTGTTACGTATGTATCATAGTCTGACTCTGATTCATTAAATTGGTCAAAGAATATTGCATCGTGTACACTAGGGAGATTGTTAGTTTTGTTGGGCTCAATAAATGCTGTAAGTATAATAGTATCATCGATTAATCATCCTCTAAACTATTAATACCTTTTTCTCCAATCATTTCATGAACATTTGAACTATATATACATGCCTAATTAAACACACAACCAATACTTGGTCTTTCAAGAACCTAGTACAAGTTATAGTAGAATCTATACATGTTTCCCCTCAGAAAAGGGAGTTATTAAGATGTTGCCAAGTGTTCGAACACCAAGTAGCAGCCAAGGGACCATTGACAATGATTATCTACCTAAAATTAATCGTGGCATCTAAATATAGTCATGTAACCTAAGTTTTGAAGTTTATTGTGCACCGCCAAATTGATATGTGTCTGACTCATTAACTGACTATTATTTCAACGATTCAAAAATTCCTGGTCTATAATATAGTATATATTGGTTTATGTATATCATATAGTATATCCATATATATTATAGCTTTAATTTGTCTTACTTAGTACAGCTAAGTTCTTTTTGTTTTCAATAAGATAGTGTTTCTTCTTTCTTTTGAAGCTATAATTGCTTTGAATTTCCTATAAGACTAAAGAGGAAAAAATAATGTACAAACAGAAGTGACCCACACGGTATTGAACGATGAGTTCACTAATGTATACAGCCAATTTCCCACACAAAAAAAAAAGAAAAAAAAGAAAGAAGAAACAACTTCGAACTCTACACGGTGTGAATGTTCTCGCAAAAAAGTCATTCCACTCTTCACTTCTTTCTTCGTCGCTCCAATCTCATGTGCCGAAAACTTTAATTGCAAGAAAATATAAAGTAGTTTAAAGATTAAAAAACCGGTTTAGTGAACCGCAAAAGAAGATCTTTAAGCTATAAACGTGTTGATAGCAATCATTTTAAAATTGACCAAAAAAAAAGCAATAATTTTAAATGACACTGGACTTCAAGATATATATTCCCTTACCGTGGTGTTGATTCTGGTGCATCAAGATTAACATCCAGGAGAAGCATAGGTCTTGTTGTAAAATATAATTTTAAGATTACGAAATTCACTTTTAGTATATAACGAATTTTCTATTAGAGAAAAACGAATGTCAAATTTAAAAATTGTATGGATATAAAAAGTTATAAATTATTTATCCACAAAATCAATATACAACCACAAATGAGTATTTGCTTCGATTGAAATTCTCTTTAAGATTTCTTTTTTGCTTTCTTGAGTTTGATTCTGTTTGTTAACAATACGTGGCTAATGCTCCAGTGCTTATCTAATGGTTCAATGTCAACTGAACTGACCTATACGCTATACGCCAACATATCTGGTGTGTGTGTGGTCCCCTACATGCATCGTCAACACTCTCCTGAGGTAACATTGTATATAAAACCCACAACCAAACAAATTGTATACTAAGCCCGTGCCACAAAGTAAAAAAGGAACATCAGAAACTGAAGCCTGCAGAGATCATAAAAGATGCAATGGCATATGAATGTGGTTCTGTAAATGTTATTACACTGATGCTCATGTTTTGGAAACCTTAGATGGTTTGTTAATTTTTTTTTGATCCTTTGTTTTGTTAGGCTCAATCACTAGACCAGGTCTAAAATTTGCAAATACTGAAATGGATTTATTAGAATGTTATAAAATCACAACACCACCCCAAAAAACACAAACTACACAAATCCTTGAGTACATTAAGCAAACAAATGACAAAAGTTCAAATGCAATGCGAACACTCCAACCCCCACCACAGATATGCCACAGCTTAAGCATCAGCAAACCTGTAACCAACAAACATGAGATTAAACTCAAAATCATAACACCATTCCTACTCTAGCTCAAATTCACAAACACGCGTACCCGAGCTCAGAAAGCTTCAAGTGTGCCTCAGAATAATCATCGAAAAATGCGTCTTCATCCTGTCCACATTACAACATCCACATTAGTTCCATATACCAACTCAAAGAAAAGAGAAAGTGTAGAGAGAAAAAAGGATACATACAGCAGCGTATTTCTCAACAAGAGGACGGAACACAGGATCTTCCAAGAGCGCCTTGTCGGAGACAAGCTGAAGAAGACCTTCCTTCTCACCGCTCAAAAGTTCCCTGGTCATATACATAATACACATTTTCAGTTTATAAACATATCAGCACTGGTTCATGGATGAATATTAAAACCTATAAGATGGAGATAACTCACTTGAAGTAAGAGTTGTCGAAAATAAGAGGGTTTGAAGTCCAAGCACCTTCGAATCCAGACCTATCCTTGTGGCATCTCCCCTGTGATGCAATCATTCATCAACAATTTATAGACTGAAACCAAAAATAAAAATAAAAGAAGTTTTGTAGTGATATACAAACCAGAGTGTGAGCACCAGATAAGACAACAATGTCCTTGTCAGATAAACCCATCTGCTTTGTGAACACCTGTCTCAAATGGTCACAACCCTTTGTGGCATCAGGGAGACGTCCCTCTGGTGGTGGCTGTGGCTTGTCCTGAAACCAATTTATAAAGTTTAGTAATCTCTACATTGTTCTAGATTTACTGAGAATACAACTCATACAAATCTACAGCAGGGGCACATGCCAATCAAATATTGGCCTATGGTTTCCAAATTTTTTGAAGAAAATCACATAAACATAAATTCATATTTAATTTTTTTTTTTTTTAAATCTTTAGAATCCTCAATTTTTTATTTATTAAAAGCTAACCTCTCTTCCAGGGTGGAAAGGAATCTCAGGACCACCAGTGACTTCAACAGCAACAACACCAGCAAGCTGATGGAAATCAGCAAAAGAGATGGTAGGGAACTGCTCTCTGATAGGCTCCAACAACCTAAGAGCAATGTGGATACCATTGTTAGCTCCATGAGCTTGCTCATCATCAAACCTCATTGTTCCAAAAGGACCACCAGTCCTTGACGCACAATCAAATGTTCCAGCAGAGTGCCATCTACATTTATAAGCCACAAAACATCAGCCTACATCACAGATACTACTTGTCAAACAAACCAAACGGTTTAGATACTTACGCAAGGCGAACCATGATAGGTGCACAGTTCTTTTCAGCGATCAAACCTCTAAGCTTCCTCTTGCATTTCTCAATAGCTTTCTGGTAATCTTCGCTAACAGTTGGATAGTTCTTCGTCATCTTCGCTAAAAAATCTAAGATCCAACCAGAATAGTTAAGCACAAGACCGAATCTTATAACATACGTAACTCAACACAAGCCTAACTACATCATGTTAACCGTTGACTAAAAGTCAAAAAAAGATTTACTATGATAAACACACATCTTTATTGATTCTTTCAAACTCAGATCAAGGCAGGCATAATGATAATAACATAGTAACGTTTTTGTTATTGTTTTTACGTTTTTTGGGGAATTGGTGGCTGGCACGAGGTGAACACGAGTACTTTTGTCTGAAGCGTTGAGGAGACGGAAAGTACAATGAAAATATATAGGGTTCTTGTCTGAAGAGAACGTTCTATTATTAGATGCCGTTGGATAACGGATATCGTGTGGTCAATATTAGTTAATTAAATCGACGGTGGAGATTTAGCGAAGGCTTGAGAATGGACGGTTGGATATTAGGGTTGGTGGAGTATATGTGGGAAAAGAATAATAGTATAGTCAAGGTTTCTGGAAGAAAACCTTGCTCCGTGTTTAACGGGCCCACTATCTCGGGGAAAAAATATCAAAACGCGTCGGTTTTTATTTTGTTGGTGATAGAATTGACGAAATTAGCCTCGGGGTCTAGTGGTGCAAACATGCGGACATCTTCGTTATGAGGTTTTTTGGTATTTTTGTCAGCAGGTGTGAACGCGTTTTACGAACAAGTAGATTCCATTGGATTATAAAGGGAAATGATGACGTCACATCGGACCAAAAAGATAGGTTTTAAGGTTTTTCAGTTCTCACCATCATTGGTTTATAAAGTGTTTAATTATGGGTCGGTTCGATTTCGGTTTACTCTGTCTTAGAAGTACTGAACCAGATTCATTGATACTTTATTTTTTTTTGTGGTTACTTAGGCTACCTTGTTAGCTTCAGCTGCATGGTTGTGTATGGTTTGATCACTTTCTCATAGCATTATGCGCCATAGCTATTTGATTGATCATTAAGGATGAAAGTATGTATTTTGACACTTTATTTTCCACACTGGCTCTGTTTTTTTTTTTTTTATCCTTGGACACTAAAAACTGAGAAGTGGCATTTCTCTAGTCTAGGCTCTTTCTTGAGTTCATAAACATTTCACTCGTCGGCTCATGATGGGCTAAATGCTCTTGGAAGGCATATCGTTACTATGCATTGGACTTTAAGGGCTTGCTGCACACACGTGAGCTATGACATGTCTTTTTGTGTGTATGTTTACCACTTTTGCTGTTTTTGACGTTGGAGTTCCATGTGAAAATAAGTGACCAAGGGACCCATTGACCCACGAGTAGAGAGCTTTTACTTAGTGATGTAGAAGTCAGCATAATGTTGAATAGTAAATCTCATTCAAATTTCAAAAACTAAATAGAAAGTTGTTTTCTATATTTGGCCCACCAAAAGCAAAAGGTGCCACTATTTTCCCTCCTCCACTCCTACTTTGTCTTTTATATAAGGCAACAGCTAGCAACTACTTGAGTGATGAAACAGTCTTAAGAAGTTGTTTCTCTCTTTGGTTTTATCTCAAGACTTGTCTTTACAAAAGCAGAGATGGAGAACATGGAAGATGGAGGAATCTTGACATACGATGGTAGATATGTTATGTACAATGTACTTGGTAACATTTTTGAACTCTCTTCAAAATACATTCCTCCTATTCAACCTGTTGGTCAAGGAGCTTATGGTATTGTCTGGTAAGTCTTTTTATCAATTTGTTTTTTACATTCTTGTAGCCAATCTTGTTCTTCATACCTTTTGTTCTTATTTTGCAGCTGTGCTAGAAACTCAGAGACAAACGAAGAGGTAGCTATAAAGAAGATATCAAACGCATTTGACAACAAAGTTGATGCTAAAAGAACTCTCCGGGAGATCAAACTCCTCTGCCACATGGATCACGACAATGTAATCCCTGATCCTATTTCGTTTAATTAATCACACACATGGTTGAAGTATCATGTTCACAATGCTACCACAGGTTATCAAAATGAAAGATATAATCGAGCCACCAGTGAAAGAGAGGTTTGAAGATGTGTATATCGTTTATGAATTGATGGATACTGATTTGCACCAGATCATAAGATCTAGTCAAACTCTGACCGATGATCATTGTCAGGTTAGTGTTACAAAACTACAGTGATGGCTAGTGACACATTTATAATCAGAGTTGCTATATGTGATGAGCCAAACCGAAATGATCAAAACCAGATTCGGACCAGAACTCCCACATATCCGAATTCTTCCTCTTTTTATATCCGAAATATCATAATCGGAACCGAACAAATACCTGAATATAAAATACTAATTAATTATATAAAGTCATCAAATATATGTATATATATAATTTAAAAGTCTACTAAAATATCTATAAGCATTTGAAAAAAAAAACGAAACATCCACACTATCCCAAAGAATTCAAATATTTTTATCCGAAATATGTGAAATAACCTGAATTAATCGAGTTTTTAGTCTAAATCATCTAGAAGCAATATTTTATCTATAGTATCCGATATTTATCTGAATTATCAGTGACACATTTACAATCAGAGCTATAGTTTGGTTACATAATGTATTCTACCATTTGAAATTGTTATTATGTTTTCGTTTCCTAGTACTTCCTCTACCAAATTTTGAGAGGCTTGAAGTACATACACTCTGCAAATGTACTACACCGTGACTTGAAACCAAGCAACTTGGTTCTAAACACGAGTTGTGATCTTAAAATATGTGATTTTGGGCTTGCAAGAACGTCAACAGAGACAGATATGATGACAGAATATGTAGTAACAAGATGGTACCGTGCACCTGAACTGCTTCTCAACTGCTCAGAGTACACAGGAGCTATTGATATTTGGTCTGTTGGTTGCATTTTCATGGAGATACTCAGAAGAGAAACGCTTTTCCCTGGTAAAGATTATGTACAACAGCTGAAACTTATCACTGAGGTAAACACGTGGAAACATATATTAGCGTGTTATTATGTGTGTGTGTGTGTGTGTTAAAAGCATTTATCTGTTTAAATTTTTAGCTCATTGGTTCACCAGATGACACTGATCTTGACTTCTTGAGAAGTGATAATGCACGGAAGTACTTGAAACAGCTCCCACAAGTTCAAAAACAATCATTCAGAGAAAAGTTCCCAGACATTTCTCCAATGGCTTTGGATCTTGCTGAGAAGATGCTTGTTTTTGATCCTTCCAAACGCATCACAGGTGAGTTTTGTTTATGTTTGGATACCATAAGTGGAAAGGATCTGTAAGTAAAGTTTGAAATGCTAACAAGATGTTTTAATTGATGTGAAAGTTGAGGAAGCTTTAAAGCACCCTTACTTGGCTAGTCTCCATGAGATCAATGAAGAACCAACGTGTCCTTCTCCTTTCAGCTTTGACTTTGAAGAGATAGCCTTGGATGAACAAGACATTAAGGAACTTATCTGGAGAGAGTCTTTACACTTCAAGGATAAGTAATCTCCCACTGTTTTGGAATAAGTGAAAATAGCTAGTAGTATTATACTGGTGTGTATGTTTTGTTTGATGGTGATTGTGTAATCCTAAGAAAGTGAGAATTATTTTGTGTTCTATATGCATTCAATACCATGAATCATGTGGAAAGTTTAATTTTGTTTTTTGAAAATGATTCAATACTACCAATATTGCAAACTTGTGTGTTACATTCACAACTTTAGCATTGAACTAACAACACGATAAATGCAAATCGAAAACTTAGAATTCCTCAGCAACAATGTATTGTGGTCTAATATAAGAATTCTAACCATTCTGCTAAGCCCGGTCGAGGTTTATACCGTACACTGAACGAATATAATTAAGACCAGTATTCATTCAGCACCTGATTATGTTCGGCTCAGAATTAACTCACCAACATGTGTTTTGAAATAAACACCAACAATGGTTTTACAGAAACTTGCATATATAGCTACCGAACAAACATTTTCTACTGCCAGACACAATCAACAGACCAGTTCCAAAGGACAAATATGAAGTCTTCCTGGGCCTCTTGAATGCTGCTATTTGTTTCTAAATGAGAAATGATTCAAGTTTACTGATCGGTTGACAAAAGAAGCAAGCACAAGGCGATCACATAGCATTAACCATTCTCTTCATCTCGGCTGATCTCCTGGGATCCGGTTCTTCAATCGCTCTCTCTGTCAGCACATGCTTTATGCGGCACATTGATCTCCTCACCTATTATGAGAGATGCACACAAAGTTGACATTCACAAATATAATAATAATCTCCCATGGTAATAAAGAACTGATGATATATGTTTTCGAAGGCTTAAAAAGTACACAACCATATTCTCTAACAAAAGATTAGTACTTCCTTGCATTTCATAAAAAAACATTCATTAATTTGTCAATAGCTTAATCTGAGAGGTTTGTAGTAGTACCTTAGGAATGCGTTCAGGGTTAGGAAACATCATGTTCTGAGCTTGAAGCATCTGACGCTGAGTCATCAACATGTTTTTCTCTTTGAGAAGAACGTACCACAGCTTCTGAAGATCATCCCACGACTTGAGCCGCAATTCTGAAGCTTTCCATCCTCGACCTAACACACACCAAAAAAATCATTACAAATCCAATTAAACAAAACAAGCCTTCATCTATAAAATCCTTATATCCAAATATCCAGATTATACAATTAAATTAAATATAACAAACTGAAACAGAAAGCAACTGCCTCAAAGGAGACAAGTAACAAACCGTAGACAACAGGTTTATCTTCATCCTGGCTTCTGTCGAACTCAAAAAACTCTTCCAGAGGGTTTTTCGCAGTCCTAACAGTAGAAGCAGCTGCTGCTGCTGCAGTAGTTGACTCCGATCTCGTCGATGCAGCCACGGCCAAGAACCTCCTCCCGAAAAACTTCGTGAGAAACATCGTAACAACAACAGCTCCTGATTAAATATAATCAATCAGACCTACCAAAGATCATCAACAAGACACCACATCAGATTCGATATAATAAAAAAATGCTAATCAAATGATGATAAGTCTTACACAAGTATCACACTTCCTAACAAGTAAACCGATTGTCTACACAACAAGGTACAGCTTACAGCAGAAGAAATAAGAACTCACCGGAGATCGAAAATGGTGTGAAACTGACGGCGACGATCACGGCCACAGAGAAATGGAAAGTTAGTCAAAACCCTCTTCAACAGTTCTCGAAGCTACAGGTTTATCGAGAAGGCTATTAAGGGCCCAATACGAACTTTGTGCAACAACACAGCCCACTTTAGGCCCAATAAGGTTGGTAAGTCGAAGAAAATAAAATCCACGTCATCGATCCGTTCTAATGCGTTTAGCAATATAACAGCCATCGGATTAAGATTAAACGGTTGAGATGAAAAGCACGCGGATCGTTTCTGTTTTTATATACACATACAATTCACTAGCTTCTCATATCGTCAAATCTCATTTTTACTATCTTCTCCGATCGATTTACAGGTATCCTCTTCTTCTCCATGTTTCTGCAATTTTCCCTATCTGCTTCGTAGATTCATATCTAATCGGATTTCAATATGTTTCGTTTTCAAAAAAAAATATGAAAAGCTTGGCTCTAGAGTTCTATTGTGAATTGATTAGATTTGGGAATCTAGGGTTTCTTATTCCTGACGAGTACTTTTTATGTTTTGGTTCTTCAGGTCTTTTAAATCTAGCGAAGGAGATATGTCAGGAAGAGGAAAGGGAGGAAAGGGATTGGGAAAGGGAGGAGCCAAGAGGCACAGGAAGGTCCTTAGGGATAACATCCAAGGAATCACCAAGCCTGCCATTCGTCGTCTCGCTCGTAGAGGTGGTGTCAAGCGTATCAGCGGTTTGATCTACGAGGAGACCAGAGGAGTCCTCAAGATCTTTCTCGAGAATGTTATTCGTGACGCTGTGACTTACACTGAGCACGCTAGGAGGAAGACTGTTACAGCTATGGATGTGGTGTACGCTTTGAAGAGGCAAGGACGCACTCTCTACGGTTTCGGCGGTTAATCAAACGGTTGAGATTTTTAGGAGATGGGATTATTAGTGTTACGGTTATGTGTGGGAATGTCTAGTTTCTGTTATCAATTTGATTAGAGTAAAATGTCTTGTAGCCAATGGGATCTTCATGTAGCTACTAAATCTCAGCAATCTTTGCTTGGGATTCTTAAATGAAAGTTGTGTGTTTAATAACTATTATGATCTCTGTTATCTTAAATTCAATTTCATTGTTCAAGCATTGCAAATAACGCAATACTGCTCTCAGGGTTGAGGGTTATCCCAGTGTACAACACTGTAATAGTCAATGAACTATGCGTTTAGAGTTTGTTACCTGAATCAAAACACTCGTCAAGCTACTCCAGAGAATAACCATACTGCTCTAATATTAGATTAAAAACTCATAATGACACTCTACGATGAGGTTGAAACATTCGTTTCATCTTTCCATTAGACTTTTGTGCTGGAAAACACCATGTTTACGAACCAAAATGATATCCAAGTCACAAACATTTTTTATCAATCTAAAACGTATCGTTTGGAAAATTAAAATAACCAACGAGGCTGACATGAGTTAATCAACAAAGTGAATTTTAACTCAAATCAAAACACACATGTCGAGCTATTCTACAAAATAACCAAACTCTTCTACTGTTAGATTAAAAAAACATAACTATAAATCTATGATGAGACTGAAACATTATCTTTCTGTTTCAGGCTTTGTCGATGAACCAAAATGAGATCCAAGTCACAAACATTTTTTTATCAAATCAAAGTATCGTTTGGAAAGTTAAAATAACCAACGACATAAGCAACAAACTGAATTTCAGCTAAAACTAGAGTCTTAATAAAAAAAAAATATTCCTTCCGTTCATAATCTTCTTCTTACTCCTCCTTTTGCTTCGCAGAGGGAGTGCGAGTTGAGTAACGGTATCCACTCGTCAACCTTCCTACAAACTTAAGAACTTCATCTATCAAAATCACCGGAAGCGACACAGCCAACACAAGCAACCACTCATTCAAACTCAACGGCACTATCCCAAACACCTGAGCCAAGAACGGCACATACAATATCACAAAATGCAGCCCAAACGACACAGCCATCGCCAGCAACAGCCACGGGTTCACCCAAGGTGGCATCGTCACAAGACTACCGTCCTCAGACAGTGCGTTCAAGGAGTTGAACATCTCAATAGCCACCAACACAGAGAGGGAGAGTGTTGACGCTTTGATTTTCCCTTGATGGAAGTACTCACACGGGTTTGAGTCGAAGGTGAAAGTCTGAGAGCCAGCTGTGAAAGGAGAGACTTTGAAGCCTTCCCATGATGAGCATTGTCCCCAGTTAGCTAGCTGTGAGTAGCTTACTAGGCTGTGACCGTCTTGGCTTAAGTCTATGCCCATGAAGCTGCTGTGTGTGTACCATATTATGAATACTCCAACCGTTGCTACTCCCACATACATACCAATCACCTGTAGACAATTTAACTCATTATTTAGTCAAGAATTTTTAAAAAAGAAGAATCTGTGTGTTTTCAATACCAGATAACGAAAGAGGATCCAGGCAGTGATGAGCGAGTCATCGCTTCTACGAGGAGGCTTCTTCATGATATCCTTGTCAGGGGGATTGAATCCCAAAGCAGTAGCTGGAGGACCGTCTGTTACGAGATTCACCCACAGAAGCTGAACTGGGATCATACCTTCTGGGATTCCTAGAGCAGCTGTCAAGAATATTGATGCAACCTCACCAATGTTTGAAGAGATCATGTACCTATTTATTCATCATCATAGTCAGATTAATAGGATCACGTATATGTTACATAACTCAAGACAACTACACAAGACTCACCTGATGAAAGCTTTCATGTTGTTATAGATGGACCTGCCTTCACCAACAGCTGCAACAATAGTGCTGAAGTTATCATCTGCTAACACCATGTCTGATGCCTCCTTTGCTACCTGCAAAAAACAATCCCAGAGCATTAGAAAAGCTGATAGAGCCATAATCATTTCGTTGTTGTAGATGAGAAGAGAGGGCATATACCTCTGTGCCAGAAATACCCATAGCTACACCAATATCAGCCAACTTCAGTGCAGGAGCATCATTAACTCCATCTCCAGTCATGGCAACCACTTCTCCATCTTCTTTGAGTAACCTAACAATCTCTTGTTTGTGCTTTGGTTCCGCCCTCGAGAACAAGAGCCCTCCAGTTTGCCTTAGATGATTCTTCTGATCTTTAACATCCATGAATTCTTTTCCAGTCAAGCTTCTTGAGGAGATATCTTCACCTGCCTCAAAAACTCCAATCTCACGGCAGATTGCTTCCGCGGTGCTCTTGTTATCTCCGGTTATGACCATGACTCGGATACCTGCTGTTCTGCAGTCTGCAATGGCTTGACGCACTTCTTTCCTCGGAGGATCCTTCAAACATTGTTAAAGTTAGAACATGAATAAATGACCAAAGGAGAACAAGAAGGAACTGAAACTCACTCTTAGGCCAACAAATCCAACAAATGTTAGATTAGACTCAATAGAAGAATAATTGGATGGGTTGAGAAGTTGCTGGTGAGCTGGATGGTCTTCACTGCCATCATAAGTAGAAAAATCTGCTGGAACATCCGAGTAGGCAAATCCCAGACACCTTAATGCATTCATTGACATATCATGTAGGCTTTGTAAAATTAGATCTCTTGAGTATTGGTCAAGTTCTTGAGTGGAACCATCAAGTAACTGAATATGTGTACTCCTTTCCAATACATTCTCAACAGCACCCTGCAAAAAAATCAAAATCGGTCTCTTAGGGGCTGAATAAAAGAGAGGACATAGATTTCTTTCAACTAAATAACATGTATCCATCATAACCAAACCACAACCCACATACTAACAGATGAGATAGTTAACCATAATATCAAAACTGGTCTCTTAGGGGATGAAGAAAAAAGAGAGGACAAAGGTTTTTTCAACTAATAACGTGCATTCATACGAAACAAACCACAAGCTACATAATCATAGATAAAAGGAAATCCATAATATTATGCTAAATAGAGAAAAACAGACCTTGACCAGTAGCAGTTTCTGTCCTGAGCTGGAATCCACCATAACTCCCATTGATTTCCTGTCTCGGTCGAACTCAAGAGTGGCAATACGTTGCTCTAGTTCACTCCATAACCGACAACAACCTTCAGAGAAGTAAAGAAGTTATATACAGGAGTTTCTTGCATATGTTATATTGTGTAAAACATGGGAACTCGTATAATTAAGAAACATACGTAAGACATCGCCATCAGCCAAAGATGAAGCTTTATTAGCTCCTTCCGGGAATCCCATTTTCTCAACCAAAACCTGCTCAATGAAACAAATACAGATTAACACTTGAGAGCCTTTGAAACTTGAAAACAAAGAGCAGAAGAAGTCTTATACAGTTAGAGTAGTAGACTGCTTTACCTTCAAAGCTGCCTCAGTAGGCATGCCCCTAGAAACAAACTGATTCTCAGATTGCTCAACATTAGCATCGTTGCAAATAGCAGCGATTTTTGCAATCATCTGAAGATTTGAATCCATCCTACCCACAGGCCAGTCTTCAATCTTTCCATCTCGAGGATCAAAAGAAGTCCCCTCAACATTAAAAGATCTAAGCGCTCCAATCCTAGAACCCATAGCAACAAGCTTCGAAACAGCCATCTGATTAGTCGTCAAAGTTCCAGTTTTATCAGAACATATCACAGTTGTGCAGCCAAGCGTCTCCACACTAGGCAACTTCCTAACCAAAGCATTCTTCTGAGCCATCTTCCGCGTCCCAAGAGCCAAACAAGTGGTAATAACAGCTGGTAAACCTTCTGGAATTGCAGCGACAGCTAACGCTACAGCAATCTCGAAGTAGTATGTACACTTCTCAAATGAGAATTTAAAGTTTCTTGGCCAGCCATCAACATACTCCCAGGAGAGAAAGTACTTAACATTAATGAGCCAAACTAACACACAAATCAACCCAATGATCATAGTCAGAGCTTCTCCGAACTCGTTAAGCTTCTTCTTCAAAGGAGTATCTTCCTCATGTTGTGCAGCCTCCTGAATCTGCGAATGCACCCTCCCAATCTCAGTACTCATCCCAGTCTCAGTAACCAAACAAACACAGTTCCCATTCACAACAGTAGTCCCTGCAAACACCATACACTTCTTCCCCTGAATATCAGCACCTTCCTCCACAGACTTAGTAGTCTTACTCACGGCCTCACTCTCTCCAGTCAAAGACCCCTGCTCAACTCTCAACGTGGAGCTAACCAAACCCACAACACGCATATCCGCAGGGACCTTATCACCAACCCTAAGCTCCACAACATCCCCAGGAACAAGCTCCTTAGCAGGCAAGCTAGACACTTTAACCCCATCACGCATCACAGTCGCCTGCTGAGACTGAATCTCCTTCAAAGCCTCCAACGCCTTTTCAGCATTAGTCTCTTGCCAGATCCCAACAATAGCATTCACAATCAAGATCAAAAAAATCACAAGCGGCTCAACGAAAGCAGTGATCCCCATCTCACCTCCTTCATCACCATCAACGAAAGCTAACACAAAGGAAATAACAGCAGCAGCTAAAAGAATACGAACCAAAGTGTCATTAAACTGTTCCAAAATCAACTTGAAAAGTGACGTTCCTTCAGGCTTCTCTAACTCGTTCAAACCATAGATCTGATGACGTGTCAACACCTCGCTAGTAGCTAAACCTTTCCCAACGCTAACACCGAAGTGTTCTTCGCATTCTCTAACGTCTTTAGCCCAAGCGGGGAAAGTATCGAACTTTAACGATTTGGGGGCATTAGTTTCCTTATTCCCCAAGTCTTCTTCACCTCCTTTCCCCATTTAGATCGTATAACTGAAAATCCAACGATAAAGGATGAGACTTTGAATGAAAGAGAGACTACGAGATCGTGAAGCTTACCAGATCCGGAGATCGTACGCTCCTTTCTCCAGATACTTCTCTTCCTCTTCTATGGAGAGAGCCTTTACAATTTAATTTTTATATTCTCTTTTGAGTTTAATGGTGTCTTGTAATGAGTAATATAGCTTTCAAGTTGAACACGATCTCCATTAGTTAATTGTAGTTAAGTCCTTGGATTTTCTTCTTATTCGTAATGTTATTATTCTTAAGGGGCTGAAAGTATAATTTATGTAATTTAAGGGGGCGATCTGTTAATTTGA